ACCCCGAGCCGCGCAGGACCCGCTCCCGAAGCGGAGTAGCCCGGGACGCCCCTGCATCCTGGGAGACCCCAACGCCTCCTGAGGGACTCTGGCCCCGCCCTCAGGGTGCACCTACACCCCGGCACGGTGCCCCGCAGTCCGGAGGCGTCCAGTCACCGCGCCGGCCTGAGGCGCGCGCGCGCCCCCCCCCCCCCCCCAACCTGGCCGCCGAACCTCGCCGCACTTGACCAGACTTAGGCCCAGGTGCCTGCGCATAACAACCCCACATCGAAATCCCAGTGCACGCTGTGTTCCTTCCATCCCTTCCCTCATCCAGAACCTTCTAGACCTCTACGCCCATGCTGGGCTAACCAGCTCAAGGTTCAGAAGCTCCTCTTTGGGGAGCATCCCATCCCCCATTTTTTTTTACTCTTTCCTCCCCCCCCCCATTTTTTCAGCATTCTTTCCTCTCTTTAAGGGCCTACTTTCCCTTTCCACCCCAGCTTTGGCATTCTGTGCCCATTTCATGGTCCTTTCTTAAGGAAATTGTTTTCTCCAAGTTCAAGCTTCTAAGCTCTCTCCCAAGCTCCTGGACATGTATTTATGTGCTTTCTATCATAGCATACTTGCTAATTTAGTACATATCCTAATGCCTTCATCCTGCTCCATCTCGGAACCGGAAGCCCAAATTGGTGACAATACCAAGGACTTCCCTCTGCATTCTGTTTGCATCTTTCTCCCTGATCTCCAATGATCTTTTTCTGGCTTAATAACTTGCCTTCCATGTGTATAAACACCAATTATTTGATTTACAGGGTGAATTTATTATGTTCAGATTTAAATGAAGTAACTATCCTGTGTTTGTCCTTCTCAATTTAAAGCTAGCATGGTAGACTAAAAGACGAGTCTAGGCCTCATACTCAAAGGAAGTAGAGTATGTTAATTTCTGAGAGAAAATTACAAAATAAATCTTCCCACTTCTGAACAACATTTTAAACGACAACAAACGAACCTGCTAAGGAAGGATGCTGATAACTGAAATGGATCACAAAGTAGATATTGAAATAAAAATTTATTAAGTGTTAACCATCTTTTAGATATCAGGGAAGTATTACATATTTACATGTGGATGAAGAACAAAAGTAATGCAACTGCAGCCTGTCATATAGTACATGTTGATGTATTTGATTTACTCAACAAATATTTACCTTTTCCAGGTGCCAGGTTCGGTTGTTGGTACTGGTGATAGAAGAGACCGTTTGAAGGTGGAAAAAGGAGAGAAGCATCATTTTCCCTGTGTTTGAAGAGTTAATTCAGTGACTAACTCAGATGAATTAGGAAGGGAGAGAAAGTAACAGGTAAAGACAAAATTGTTTACCACTATAATTTGAGATAGAGCCTAAGAGGTAATGAGACAGAGGCAGCTGATTCAGATGGCACATAAAAAGACTCATCAACAGTGGCAGGCTTAAAGAACATGACAGAGAAAGCTGGAACTAGCTGAGAAGAGGAAGCAAGAAAAACAATCTGATACAAACTGGAAAGGAGCCAGAAAGCCTACAAAAATACAAGGAAGGCCATTTTTGAAACAGATCCTAGAGTGATTGAAAAGCCAGTGTCATTTGAGGATGCAAACAGTAAAATCACACTTTTTTGCATGTATGAAAGCAAACCAGCACTTTTAAATCCTGCTGAGTTGAGAGAGCAGGGGTAAGTTCTATGGTATGAATATTTATACTTTTCATTTACATTTTTATTTTTATTCCAGTAATATCCAGAAAATGTTATCTATATTTTTTGTTTACATTTTACCTTTTTTTCACAGTAAAATACAGAAAGCATTTTTTAAAAGGACCTAGAAAAAATTTAAATTACATTCATTTCAGATAAAAATCTTCAAAAGAAAAAGGGGAAAAAAAACTAGGACCAAAAGTGAGGTTTGGTGAACTATTTTAAAGACATAACATAGAGGATTCTAATATTAATTAGTAATTTTAAAATTCTTCTTTAAGTGTCTATTTTGAGTCTGGCTGAGAACAAGGGAGACATTTGTGAGCATGACATACAGTTCCTGTCCTTTGTGGATTTGTAGTCAATAAAGGGAGATAAGTGATCATAAAGTATGATAGATGCTTTGATAGCAGAATTTCAGGATGCAAGGGGAAATTTCTTGCTCTCTAGAGATGAATTACCAATTCTAGGAAAGCTGGAATGAAAAAAGACATTTAAACTTTAATGTTAAAAGTCAAGCTAGGAAAAGGAATATGGAATAAGTAGTCCCAAAGGAGGGGAATAGCATTGTGTACAGGCCCTGTGGTGAAGGTAAAGCTGTTTAGTGAGCTTGAAAGCCAGTTGAGTGGAGTATAAAGTTCTAGAAAAGTATGAGAGAGAAAAGAAGCCAAGAAGATAAACACTGGATCCAAGAGGACTATATAAACTATGCTAAGGGGTTCAAATTTTGTTCTGGTGTAATGGGAGGCCACTGAGTCATTTACACATACATGTAAGTTTACTTAACTTTTGGAAAGATCAACCTAACTGCAGTGTCAACAGTGGTTTATAAGGGAGGGAGTGTGAAGTTAGTGGGCGGTTAGGAGTTAAATTAAATCTTATTAGCTTTCCTAGATAACCACTTTGAAGCAAAGAGTTGAATTTTGTTTTCATATCTAATACACAATCTTTGATTTCCTTTTTTCTTTTCTAATACACAGTCTTTGACTTTGACTTCCTTTTTTCTTTTCTTTTCTTTCTTTTTCTTTTCTTTTTTGTAGTGTCAAAGATTGAACCCAGGGCCTTGTGCTTGCTCTATCAGTGCTCTGCCACTGAGCTATAGCCCCCCACAATCTCAGTAGTAGTAGTAGTAGTAGTAGTAGTAGTAGTAGTAGTAGAAGAAGAAGATTACCTATCATGAGTCTGAATTTGGTTTTCTTTATGCTTGTCTGCAGTGGAGTTTGTAGAGATTTTTGGATATGTTGCTTCAGGTCTTTCATTAACTTGGCAGATTATTGGTCATTTTTATTATTTTTATTGTTATTATAAAGATGATTGAACAAAGAGTCATTATTATTTTGAGACAGGGTCTCACTGTGTAGCCCATACTGGCCTGGAACGTCAGATCTTTCTGCCTTAGCCTTTTAAGAGCTGGGATTACAGGTGCACACCACCATAACCCAGCTGTTCATTACTTTTTTCAAATACTGTTTTTCATTCTCCATTTTCTCCCTCTGAGACTTTAGTTATATATATGTAAGACTTTTACTTTGTTTTTCTGTCCTCTGCTTCATTTAGATACTTCTTTCCTCTCTTCTAGTTCACAGATTCTGTCTTAGGCTATATTCTATCTGCTGTTAAATGCACTTACTGAGTTCTTTTTTTGGGGGGGTGGGGGAGGTCTGGTCATGGGGCCTGAACTCTGGGCCTAGGCGCTGTCCCTCAGCTCTTCAGCTCAAGGCTAGCGCTGTACCACTTGAGCCACAGCACCACTTCCGGCTTTTTTTCTTTTTGCTTATGTGGTGCTGAGGAATCGAACCCAGGGCCTCATGCGTGCAAGGCAAGCGCTCTACCACTGAGCCACCTTCCCAGCCCTGAGTTCTTAATTTTAATTATTATATGTTTAGGTTTTTAAATTTCACTTTAATTCTTTTTATGCCTTCCACATCTTTGCTGAAGCTGCCTTGTCTCTTAATTTCTTGAATATATTGGCCACAGCTGCTAAGCTCCATAGGTGACCTCCCATGGGTTTGTTTTTGTTGTCTGATTTTCCCCTTGCCAGTACTTCTATTCTGTAAGCACAGTGGTTAGAAGTTTGGATGCTTAACTACTTAATACAATCAGGGTTTTTTTTTTTGTTTTTATTTGGTTTTAAGCTGGATATCAGTGTTTGTGAGGGCAAGTCTATTTTTGACCCGCCCAAGGTTCTTTTTTCTTTTTTCTTTTCCCCCCTTATCTTCTTCTGAGCATGAATTCATGGCTTCATTCATGCTAGGCAAGCATTCTACCATTTTACCCCTGCCTCCAGCCCTTTGTAGTATGGTGTGTGTGCGTGTGTGTGCGTGTGCGTGTGTGTTTCTGTTTGGTGGTATTGGGGATTGGACTCAGAACCTGTGCATGCTTAACAAGCCTTCTATCACTTGAGTCATGCGTCTAGTTCTGCTCTGGTTATTTTTGAGATAGTCCCTCTCTTTCTGCTCAGGCCAGCTTGGACTCAACCTCAAGTGTTTCACACAGTATCTGGGATGACAGGTGCTTGACATTGTGCTCAGCTATTGGTTGAAATGAGGTCTTCTGAACTTTTTATCCAGGCCTGGAACCATGATTCTCCGTATCTCTTTCTTAAGAACCACCTATGATTCTTCAGGATCTCTAACTGGGTTGTCTATTTCTTTACTCAAATCAACTTGATATTAATGGCTTTAAATTATGATTTGATAGTTGTGAGAACCCCCAGAAGCCAAATTGTGAGACCCAAAAGGATTGGGAGGATGGGATGCCTCCTCCCAACATGAACTCTCAGAATGCTGAGAGTTTTCTGAAAGGTTCAATCAGTCCTG